AATTATAGCACCAAATTCACAAGGCTATTTGTTCAGTCGAAATATTTGTCAATACGATTTTATAACATCTTCTTCATATATTACCATCTTAAATTCAGTATCGTTGCGCAAATCTTCACCTTTATAAATGTATAAAGTGTACAAAAAAACACCAATATTAAAAAAAGGAAACAGTAAGTACAAGTATCAGAAATAAATATATCGGATAACAGACATTTTTCATCAGTATACTGAAGAAGGATATCTGTTATCCTCAATATTTATTATGGTTTTTTTTATATACTGGTCAAAGATTTTGATGAATTAGAGGAAATATTATGGTATAGCAACATCATATTTCATACAGAACGTAACCAAGATTTAGCGTGCAATTATATATTATATTATATTGCACTACCACGAATAAAGCTTCAAATTTGTGACGTTAGCCTCAGTGAAAATCAGTTTTTTTAAAAGTCAATTAAACCTCATATTCACGGACACAAAAGACAGAAACTGTTTTATAAAATTTTCGGAGAAAAAAATTGCATTTAAGGTAGATCCATTCTGGTCATGTTGCAAAATACATGTTCGGTTTAAATTTTTTTTATCAAGTTTCATTCAATATTTAACAGAAACATCTGAAACTTAAAGTTTAAAGATTAAACTATCAAACAATTAAGTGTCGTTAAATGTATTATTTTTTTTTTAAATTCAAGGGCAGATAGTTCTATTGTATCTGATATAACAATTTGTGTTTGTTTTGAAATTTCAAGAAAACAAGGCTCATGACCCCTATTGTTATTTGATATTTCAAATGTATTCATGAAAAGCAATTCTCTCATATTGAATTTTAACAAATTATATCGTTTAAAGTTTCCTTAATAAAGAGAAATTTATTTTCATCTTTATAACGCATATCAAATAACTGTGATTTCGTAAATTTCAATGTATTTTTCAAAACAAAAAAAAAATCAAGGTCCGTGACCCCCAGTTTTTAAATTGAAATTGGAAAGTACATTGACCCAGAAGCCTTTTATAGAAGTTTAAGGCAACCTTAATGACAATTATTTACCAATACCAAAGGTACGTTTAAAACATTTTACCATATACAAATACATGTAAAAGCACGTGCTGTTAAGTGCGGTGAATATCACTTTTTTCAGGTGCATTTCTTTTATTTATTCAAAATCCCAATTTATATATAAAAATAAAAATCTATAAAAAAAACTAATGCCAATATGGAATGATATATCGTATTTCACTAATGCGAAGAAAGCTTCAAATTAGTGACGTCATCAGTAACAAAAATATGCTGTAAACAGATTTTCAAGCTTTGCTATCACTATTGATGCAATAAATCGATCATGGCTATGTATACACTACAAGGGTAATTGCATACAGTTGCATGAATATTGGTAACCATAATTCCTCGTAGAGTACACATTACACTCGCATGCTTGAGTAGTATAAAAATCTACTCGGGACAATTTCCATCAATATTCATGCAATAACCTCATCATATCGTATTACTTAATCTTACCTTTTATCAGTATCGTAGCACAGAATTTGTAAAACCAGATGTTAATTGCATTAGAAGAAAACACTTCACGCAGATTGTATTACAAAATTAACTTATTACAGTTCGATGAACATTTGAAATAAGCCTTAACCGGAACTATCCATGCCATGAGTATGGAAAGTCAAAATATGATTATAACGTGGAGAGCTATGGAGTTTAATGGCCTTCAAAAGGAAGGACCAACAACATACAATGTCAACTCGTCTGAGGGAACAGCAACCTGATAAATTGTCTGCTGCATGAACGAATATCTTTTCTTTTAAAATCATTTATTATACCATAGCGGTAGTTGTGATCAGAATTACTTTCTATAGTGCAATACATCAGGTTCAAAGCTACGGGCATTACATTACTTCGTACCAGTCTAATTTTACGTTGTTGAACAATATTCAAAGCGAGATAATTCTAGTGTTATAATCTGTAAGATAATTAAGCTTTGCTTAACATGTGCAAGAATATCCTGCTTCGCATGCAACATCTGTAAGGGCTGAATTCGATCGATAAGGGGAAAAATTCTAGAAATGAATAATTTAAGTTTGGTGACTATGTTGAACGCATCTATCCAACCGAACTTGAGAAATAAAGGATATAACAGATACAGTTAAATCTGTCTCACATCTTGACTTACATTAAATAAACTCATCATAGATACCAGGATTGAAATTTTGTACGTCAGACGTGCGTTTCGTCTAAAAAGACTCATCAGTGACGCTTGAATAAAAACATATTAAGATATTGACAATAAGAGTCGGTTGAGAACAAAACTTTACGACAATAGAGATGATTTCAGCTTTCCAATTGTGAACTGCCAATTTCGATGTAGCAACATTGTAGTAGAACCTGCATATGGAGTATACATCTACCAGTCGATACAAATATCCAGAGCCTGTCTTTCCTATCATGATTTCCTAGATAGAGGATTGCTGCTTACAAGGAAGCTATTAAATTTAAACGACAGTAGTTTACCGAATTTCAAATCTCGAAATCTTTAAGGAAGAGACAAATCAGGGTAACAAACAAAAAGAGAGGGAATCACATGAACTCCAAAAGGAGCAAAAACGGGTTCGTCAACAGGGTACGCGTCTCTTGCTATGCATGTATCAACCGCCATGCGAATTCACACTCGGTGAAAATGTCACAATCGGTAACAAATCAGTGAAATAACAGATCAGACGATCATATTGGTATTCTAAAGATCAATTTCAGTCGGTCTGTGTTCTTCCTAATAACTCTGTTGGAGTAGTTTATGTGTTTTGACCCAAACATTTTAAGAAGTGAAGTTGAAGTCCTCCTTTCGAAAATATTATGGACTAAATCACGAGTTCGTTGACTGTTATGGAATATATGTTTCGCAGATGACGACGGATATGTTCCAATTGTCGTTATCACAATCCCGTCCTCTTTTCCTCGAATTTGACATCACCGAGTTTGTACTTCTATGAGCAACACGACTAGTGCCACATGTAAAGCAAGATTTGGTTTACCTTCCCGGACACCGATGACCACCCACATTTGTTTGTTTGGTTCGTATCAGTCTTAATTTGTCCAAGTTGTGTTTTGTATACTGTTGTTTGTCTTTTGTTTGTTTTTTCGTTTTTACTATGGCGTTGTCAGTTTGTAATCGACTTTTGAATTTGAATATCTCTTTGGAATCTTCCGCTTCTGTTTTGGAATATTTTTGTGTCCTTCTCTTTTGAATGTCAAAGCACCTTCTGCTTATTTTTTACATGCTTCTCTATAATTTTGCTGTCTGATAATTATTGAACTCTTTTTCGGTGTAATAGCTCTCTATGATCGTTCTGTTTTCAGATAAGAGACTAAATCAATGAAAGGAACCAGTCTTTCAACAAAACTGTACAGAAATTTAAGGTTTTGTTCAAACTTTTTTTGTTAAAATTCTTAAAATTGTAAGTTTTTAAGCAGGTTTGAGATGCATCCATCCTGTCTTGATTTATTGTCGCCTGTGATAAATCATGTCTTACCGTTGTTTTAATTCAAGTGATAATTCAAGAAAGAAAAAATAAATGAACGAGACGTGTGGTAGTTCCTTGTAACGAGACTCCATTTATAGAAGCAAAAAATCCCTGGATGTTAGACTTCTCTACCTTGAAAAAACTAACGGATCTTGTTGAAATGGATTTTTCTTGAAAATTTCAACGACAATGAACAAACCGGCGTGTTTGAAAACGTAATTGTGCAAGAATAAGTAGATATCAGGAATCATGCTAAGAACTATGTGGAACACTAGGAAAATCGTGTATGGAAAGCGCTTAAGATTGTGTATGTACAACATTTGTCTTTCAAGTTTTTAGAAACAATATAGACTACAGATATGTTTTTAAATATCAGTAACAAAAGCTTAAAAGCAATTCTTTCTATAAATAATAGATAATATGTATTTGCATGTTTATCTCAAATAACACATACATAGATATGTAGATAATTAGAGGCTCTGAGGAGCAGTATTTGCTTACCCTTCCGAAGCACCAGATTTCCACCCGGTGTTTTTGGGGGTACATGTTGCTTAGTCTTTAGTGTTCTATGATGTGTTTTGTATACTGTGTGTCTTTTGATCGTTTTTCATTTTTTTGCGTGGCATTGTCAGTTTGTTTTAGACTTGTGAGTTTGAATATCCTTTTGGTCCCTTCTCCACTTTTTCATGACTAAAATCTCTTTTCTGTTGGTTTTGTATTGATAGTATTTTTTCTGTTTAAATTTTCTCCCATTCTTGTATGGCAACGACTTGGCACTATGGAGTCTGCTGACGATTTCGGCAATGTTGACTTATTTGCAGATATTTATCCTGCTTATCATTTTTGTTATCACAAGTGTATAATCATCTATTATAGTTTCAAGATAATACGAAAAAATGAGAGAAAATTTGTCATTTAGCTAGGGGTAAAAACACCTATAAAAAGACGTCTGACAGTTTTAATGTATATAGACAGTTTGTAGATCTTACCATTCTGATTCTTTTTGCCCGTAAAATTTTCAATATCTATAGCGGTTTCCTAGAAAAAATAAACAAAACTTATAATGACCCACATATTCTAGTTTAGCCATGTAGGCCATGTTGGTTGGATCATCGTACACATCGTTTTTTAAAACTATATACACCAACGGTGATTGTGGCCAAGTGTGGGTAAATTTGTCTCAATAGTTTAAGAGGAGAAGACTTTCGTAAAATTAAATGGACGACGGACGACGGACGAAGAACGCCAAGTTTCTTTGGTCCTATGTATTGTATGAAGTGAGCTATACACGTAGGATTGTGGTTTCAAAATGACATTAAACATTTGGTTACCCATTTAAACAAATTATCGATTATGTAACCTTTATCACCATGATCATAAAATCAGTTACGCTATTGTTTTTTTTATTCCCGATGCACAAGTTTAAACACTGAACGTTTTGAAAAATCGTAAAATACAGGTAAATATTTGTATTTAGGGACGCATACGACTAGGAACTAAAAGTTACCTGTTCACTTAGTGCATACAGAGATAAGAATAATTCGAAAGTTCAGGTAAAATGTTTCATCTAGTTGAATTTTCGTAGAATTTAACACTCATTAAAACTCAGAGTGACATGTAGCTAATGTAGTTTCAGTTGTGTCCTTTATTTTTTAGGCATTGTTACCAAGCAAAGATTCGAACAATGGCATTAATTGTTATTGGGGTAAGATATCTTAATATATTTTCATTTACTGAGTTAAACCACAGGACATAAATCAAAACATCTATAATTTTTATATTTGAAGGTTTGAAATTTCCTTTTAATGTTGAATGTAGAATATTGAACGAACTCGACACCCACTTTAAACAAACTTCCAAAATTTAGGATTTTTTTTTTATCTTTTTGAATTCATACCAATATAATCCTTTAAATTTTTCGTCCTGGGAGAGCTCTGATACATTTCAGTATACTACATTCTGCTATAATAGTTAAACTGATAATAGAGACACTCGTGTAAGTAACATTACAAATATAAAATCATTACTTATATACTATCCCTGCCACATGATGTTTGTTGAAAGCTTTGAAATTCACCGAATTTCATCAGAGATGATATTTATTATCATGGAAGTATAATTATACGTGCATACATACTAATAGAAAATATTACATGCAGATTTTTCAGGCCCTGTTTTTCAATTATGTCTCCTTAGCTTTTGATGTGCCTTTTCTAAGTTATAAACATCGTCAGTATACGTAGATGTAGTAGTCATACTTTTATTCTTTAAGTTGTTTGGATTATTCCGTTGTAATGTCTATGTACACAGATCTTTGATAAGGTCTTTTAAATGTATACAAAATTTAAATACTCGATTTAGAGCTTGACATATTATATAGACCTGTATATTGTTGAAGACTATGTGTTACCAACTACATGTAGATTTAGGTTGGTCCTAGACTGCTGGCTCATTGCATGACGTGAAAAATCCAACAGTTCCTTTTATTCATACCTCTTGTTTTTGGAATTATTAATTTTCCCCCAGTTTTCGAAGTGGAAGTCTGTTGTGTTATTTATTGTTATAACGTGAGGGTAACATAACGGAACCTTTTTGATAGTTTTGTGATCTTCGTTTATTTTAGAAACAGACAAAAGTTTCCATTCTGTGTTTTTTTTTGTGTAGGTTTATCCTTATTTACTGTATAGTTTCATATATTTTATGTTTAATCCAATACTGAATGATAGAAAGTGGGTTTGAACCGACCTCCGAACGATCTTAATGAGAAAAACCTGAATTGCACTACATAGTCGTAAAAATCTAATTATGGATGTTTTCTTTTATTTCTTTACTTTTTAAAACAATTTGACAATAGTCTCATCATGCATTTAGTGAGAAGTGAATGCCTGTGACATATTTTAATTGCTCATTTTTAAAAGTTGACGTATTCTTAAATCGTGCTATTTTTCACTGCAGACTTCATCAGTTGATATATTATGTGGAAATTATGTGTATCTTTAGGTATATATAACTAAATGAAATGACGAGCATAATGACAAATGATAAGATAAAAACACGACTTATTTAGCCTCTAAGAAAACCGAAAAGATTTTTGTCGCTTTTTCTTTTTCAAAATGGGTAAAAATTGGGTATTCGGTACTGTGATGTTACATGGCATAAAAAGTGTTTCATGTGTAACGCCAATGGCTTTCCTTCAACATTATTAAAACATCATTCTATGTTGATTGAATTATTTTTTGTATCCTCCGTGTGTTCAGCTTTGTTAATTTGTGTCATTGCTAGTAATAAAGAGCACTTAGTTAGTGTCATGCGAAACTTCAACCGTTTTCCGTCAATATTCTTTAAATTTTGCGCACAAATGAGATTTATTTTAATTTTTGGGATTATTTCACAGACGTTTTGGTTTAATACTCTTTGAGATAATAGTGTTCCGCTGGTCTTCCAATGTAATGACAAGAAGAGAAATTCATCTGTAGTATAAGACAAGCCTTCTCCAAATGCTTAAACTAAAAGTGACGTTCTTAAACCACAAGTTACTATTTTTCTTCTCTGTTGTAAATAAAAATATCATATCTTTTTCCAAGTTTATTTCAACTTAAAATATCAACTAGTGGTGATTTGTAGGTGGACAGACCATCAATTAGTCTCAGAACATTTTTTTTTCATATAATATTCATATTTAGTGTACAATTCAAAGTTTTCACTTGTATTAACCTCTTCCTTTTGCAAGCAATACCTCTTTTCCCTACCCCCCACGTGGAGGTGGAAGTAAGATTAAGAGTATCATACATTCTTAAAAAAAATCCTTTAAATAATATCAGTCCCGAGGGTATCATCAGCTCAGTAGTCAATACGTCGGCACTGAAATGATTGATAACAACCCTATCTTTTATTGTCCGTCTAAAATCAATAGCCAAATTCATCTAAAATCAACTTTGCCTGCGGGAGTTGATTTCTTAGTGTCGTAATAATTTATAAATTTATAAACGGACAATTTAAGATATGTTTGTTATAAAACTTGACAATACCGAAGTACTAACTACTGAGCTGATAATATTGAACTGAACGTCCATCAACAGCGGTATCGACCACATGCACTTGTTTCTATCCATGGGAAGAACCACTATCGACGTTTATTTAGGAGAAGGTACCCAACTACTTTTTTCACCTCTCCGCTTCAAAACCTTATTTTGCTGGTCATAAAGTTCTTCAACTGTTTCGGTTCGTGTACATCCTTTGCTTTTCAAATATTAGGCTAAGAGCGTTCCTGATGGAGGTAAATGCAGAAAAGCGCTTCGAACGCATGAAATTTATAAAATGTTGTCATTTTTTTACAACACTATGTCAATAACTCTGCTGGTGGACTATCAATACTCCGTCTTGTGTATTCAAATTTCAAACAATATAATGGAGTACTATTTTTGGATTCGGTATCGGATTCGGTTTCGGTATCGGCTTATGGTGAACATGTCTATTGAAGGCAAATCCGGAAAGCGCAGAAATTTATAAAATGTTGTCATTTTTTATATGAATGGTATACGTCTCCGAGAGATAATCAGCTTTTTTCCTTCTCGCATCGTCTTACTGCAGCCAGTGTGTCCATGGGTCACATTTGTTTATAACCTAGAAAGCATGGTCAGGCGAACTTTTACCATAACTTTGCGTCCGTGGTCCGTAAACTTTTTTGTAAAAATATTTTCCTCTGAAACTGCTCAAGTGATTGAAACCAACGTTTGTCAGCTTTATGTATAGAATGTCCTCTGTGAATTTTGAGATTTCCCTTTAAGTTGATTAACCAACAAAGCAACTGTGGCTATAATGAAGATAGTGGTCAAACTACAGTGTTTGTTTTACAAATATCGGAAACTTAAGCAATAAGAAAAGGAAATTTAATGGTGAGCACAACAAGTTCGATCTATTCCAGAAAAATTTCAGAAAAATCTGTTAATCTTTTATGGATTTGGTGTCCCTAAGATATATTTTTTACCATTTTTTACCATTTTTTCCAGTTTCTGACTGATATTTTAAAAGAGTAAATTACAAAAATGATCAGCAAACAAGATTTATCCAACCTTCAATTTGGAGTAACTCAATCACCTTTTTTTTTTGGAGTAATTGCCCTGAATGATCCATTTTTTCTAGTTTTTGGCTGTAATTCTTTTAACTATAGAAGTTTCCAATGTTGAAAGTGTTAATTTCAAAAATAATCAACACAACAAGATGTATCCACCCTTAAAATCCAACTACCAGTTTGGTGTTATTGTCCTTGAAATATATTTTTTCCAATTTTCGCAGTTTTTGTTGTTATTATAAAATTTATAGGAGATAGATTAAAAGTATTATAGCAAAAAAGAACAAAATCGACAAGGTCTATTTACCCATCGAATCATTGCACCTAAAATATTAATGTTTACTTTTTTTTTTACAGTTTTGACTGTTATCTAAAAAAAAATACAGGGGTTAGTTTAAACATGTAAATTGCAAAACTAACACAAGAATAACTATTATGTGCATATACAATTCTTCATTAGCAGTCTGACTATTTTCACCATGTGAAGGATACAGGCACACTTGTGTCCTTGTAATATATCTATATATATATTTATCTTCTTGTTTACGTCTAAATCTAAAATGAAACTGTTTGAATTTACGTATTTTTTATACATCCTTTACATGGAATGGAAACTTTAATCAGCATTTGTGTTACAGGACAAAATGCATAAACTCGGTATATTCTTTTGGCGCAAATGAAATATAACCTTGTGGCGCAAATGCAATTAATGCTTCCTATTTTTAAATTGGCGCCTGTTGTTGTTCACGTTAAGAGGATATTAAAAAAGGAACAATCTCTGCTTTCTATATAGTTACCATTATTGTCGCAGGTTAGAGCAGTTGCAGTTGGTGTTGCAGGATATTTATCACATGTGCCAGCATTGATAAGTAACGCAATCGCATTCAAGCATAAAAATATGAAAGTCAACAACTTAAAAAATCTAAAGAAAGGGGATCATATAATATTTAAAAGGAAAGGACCTGGGCCTTCTCATCATGCCATCGTGGTTGATTTTAATGAAGCAGAGAATAAATATAGCATTATTCACCTCAGAAGCATCGAGGGATGTGGCAATTCTGGGTGTAAGAGCAATGCTTCGATAATGGAAGACACCAAAACATTTCATCCGGGTAAAGTAACTTTAAGACAATATGCAAAGAGTCAATTAAGAAGAGAGCAAATTGTCGAAAGAGCATATTCGTTGCTGAAGAAACTTGACAAAATCGATTACAATGCTCTAACAAACAACTGCGAACATGTAGCTACCTGGTGTATATTTGGGTACAATAGGAGCGAACAGATTGATGACGTAATGGCAATGTTAGGACCAATTGGGATGGTCCCTAAACTCGTCGAGAACATAAGCCGGTATGTTAGACATTGTTAAAATAAACGTAACTCTGGAAGCAGCATGAAATGATATGAACAATTTAAACAGATCGATTAAATTAAGTTTCAAGTTAAATGTGTTTTTGAGTGGAATGTCGTAGAAATATCTTGTCCCTAGTATTTAAATTAAAAGTATGAGCGAAATATTAGCAAAATGCAAATGAATAGACTATTTTGGTGTTAAAACAATAGTAAAGCAAGCTTATCAAACGTACGAGGATTACCATAATTCGTTGTATAGTATCATTGAAAATGTAAATTTGAGAATGTTCTGGATATATTACTTAATCATATATGTATAGATTATTATTTTGTATAGTCTAACTAATCTGACTGGTTCAGTAAGAGTCCAATCTTCAACAGTATTTTCAATGGTAGACTGAAAAAAGTGGATTGAAAATTGATATTGCACAGTTATATTTAAAATATCTAAAAATAGAAATACTTTGTGATGCAAAAGACAAAAAACTATTTTTTCTTCTTCTATTTTTGGCGTATTGACAATAATAATATAACAATTCTATTCTTTGTATGAGGTCAATACGAGGATATACTTTTCAAGTCGATATACCTTCGTATAGACCTCATACAATGCATTACGCTATAATTGTATATAATCTTAACAAGAGACACAAATCCCATGACATACTGAAAACATTACAATATGTAAAACGAACATCATCATTTCAGTTACTAAATATGAAAGGCTCTTCAAGGATGAAACTTTAAACCAACACCTTACATCAAGGCTGCCTAAAATTTAGACTTAGGCATTACTTTTTATATAAATTGATTACCTCTTTATAAGTTTTGTTTAAGAAATATTTACATTAAGACTTTGAAGGGAACACTTCTTGGACGAAACGTTAAGTAAATATTTGTAATGAATTCCGATTATCTGCTCAGATGTTTGAATACTAAAGCATCACTTTGGAAATTTCGTGCCAAATTTTGTCATCATTATCCGCAAAACAGTTTAAGCCTCTTATTCAATAAGCGGTATTTTCTCACTTTCCGACAGGTTAAGATTTTCTAAAATTTGTGAACTCGCTTTGCAAATGAATGTTTTCCCGTTCATAATTTATCTTTTTTTTTATATATTTATAATATTTTGTTATAAACTTGATCTCAAACGTGTTTATCGTTACTTAATTGTGTTATTGCCTAATTTATTGTACTATCACTTATCTATCTAGATTAGTGAAAGACGGTGATCCAGCTAACTAACTGTTATGTAAGTATGACTATATGAGTTTATTGATTTCACTAAGAAATATTTGTCCCGAGAAGTACACTCTACGATAAACATAAAAAGGAACGCGTATTTTAATACAAGTACATGTTTTTCAAATCCAAATTTTTCAATTACACAATTTTTTTTATTGAACAAATAACAGTCCACTCTTCTTATATTAGTGAATGAAAGTCAATTTATCACGGTTCAGCAAACAGTGAATGAACATCACGTACTATCAACACAGCTCTGCACCTCTTCGGTATAGACGCAATCAATTTGTGTTCGCACGATTATACAGCTAGACCAACATGTGATCAATTTGATTAAAGCACGGAGATTTGGAAGGGCATGGTAGCACTTTGATGTTGTTTTGTTCAGTTAAGTCTATTGTAAAACGAGGTGTGTGCGGCGTAGCGATGTCCTATTGGAATTATCTCCCTCTGTCGGTCAATTATGTGCATGAGGAAAGGTTGTCTCTGTACCTTACAGCCGTCACATTGTCCGGTACATTCACGAATTCTGTTTTTCGGCCATTTTAGAGATCACTGCCCACACCATGACACTTTCTTCATCGAAGTTATCCACTTCCTATACACATAAGGAAGAGAAACGTTTATTCTAGTGCCTTATAATTTTATCCGTATTCTGCCATCACATCCCACAGCAACAAACGAGACTCTTCGTTGAACGAATTTCTCTGCCTGTTTCGATATGTCCAGCCCTCAATCTGTTGCACCAACGAACTATTTTACGTCTTTGGAACGGCACCAGTTCCGCTTCGATATACGGCCTTTTGGTTTTTTTTCCCCAACTTTTCCGCACAAACTTTGTGATGCAATTTTGCGGAAAAAAATTTTGTTTGATCATTTGATAGATACATGTCAATAGTTTTAGAAAAGGTATCACTAAAAGGAATAGAAATTCTACTTTGAATCAAATTTTGTGGGAACATGTGACATGTTCATGCCCTTTTTGCAATATTTTATGGCAAATAAATGCAGATCGTTGCCATGAATACACGAATTTTAATTTCTGTATTTCACCATTTTAAGTATCGAAAATCAAATAGATTGAAGATCTGGATTACATACATACGTCATTAGAAAGCCAGGAAAAGAGGATGGTTTAACATTTTGCGGGTCATTTAATTTGAAATGTGGGGTGCTACCTAATGCCATGCTGCTGAAGACGGTTGGGGACTATTTGCGAGCCGATTCACCGCAATCTATGTGCGCCGGTTACAGTGGTTCATTCGTTAGGTGTTTGATATAGTACAGCAGCACCACCACCACCAACACGAACAACAGCAGTAGCATCTTCATTACTATCTTCGCTTTCAGGACTATCATGTTCAAATGTTTCATTATCAATAGCTTCGTCTAATTAGCTTTCCAAAAAGTTTTATATTTCCTGATGGGTTATTTAACGGCTTATTCGTAGTCCATGCCATCGTTAACTAGTTCTGTGATAATTTTAATGACTTTACCTTACAATTTACCATTTTGCAATTGCAGTAAATATTGAATGTCACTGCTATATCTGGAGTTAATTCATATCTTAGTCTTTTAGTTTCCGATTGACCTTACGTCTTGCATGGTCTCCACTCAAGTTACATCCATGTATTTATCAACTTTTGCATCCGATTTATCTTTATTTGCCTCTCTAGCAAGTTCGGCTTATTTTGTGAAATCAAGATCTTCCCTATGTTCTATGTCAATTTCATCTACACGTGACTTCGTTTGGGAATGTCTTCAACCTCTGTTAATATCTGTTCTGATTTTTATGCTGATCTCCCAATAACCTATTTAGATCTTTTATAAAGCAATTATGTGATGTTTGTTATCCGAGATAACCAGGAGGTTTTCATATTGTGCATTCTAATGTTTTTTAACGTGTAAGAGAAAGACTTCGTTCTTATAATAGCTAAACAAATTGAATTTAACAGATATTTCGTTCTGTTTTTTCAAACTTTGGACGGAGTGTCGGTTAATTTAACACGATGTTATCAAAGTTCAAGCATGATGTATGTCCCTTGTATTTCCAAACCCGCTCTCCGTCATTTTTCGCTGGGTAAATTGGAGCCAGAATCGAGCTAATGAAATATTGTCGTCCTTGTTTTTTTTCACATTAATTATGACATGTTTAAATCTGAGTTTGATCGGAAGTGGAATATAAATTGCACATTTTAAGGGTCTGAAACGTTGCATGTGTATGCTTAGATTCGTCAATTTATTCCACCGTTCAATTACTCCCTTGTCGCTTATAGTATTCGAAAGAAATATACATCTTTTTGACAGATTCCTTCAATCCTTAAAAAAGTTTGCCTATATCCTTAAATTGTAAACTGGTCAGGCATTTATCCTGGAAATCCGGCCCTGCAGTTCCTATATCATCTCCTTTATGTCTGCTAATTGCCACTTCAGTCCACCTCTTGTTGTATTTGGCAAAACCTTTTGGAATTTGGTCCTAATTAATGCTCTTTAATTTCGAACTTTATTTGGCCTTTTAGTCACTTTTATTGAAACACCCGTTAACAAGCGTTGGTAGACTTAATTGTAACTATTATGGAGAGTAGCGAGTAATTATATTTTATCTATATACACAGTCGTAAGAGAATAAATATATGCGGTACATACTTGGATTCTATTAATAGACAGGGAATTTTCATATCTATAGGTGACTAAATGAAACTTAAAAAACAATACACAGCATATACGTATCCACAGTTATCACATACGTAATTAGTAACATAACACTTTACGATGAGCTTATCCTCAAAAGAAATTAATTGATCATGACTGAATCAAATTCAAAGTTATAACACCTAAAGATGACGTCAGATGGTATCCTCACTATATCATCTCTCCCATTTTGTTTAACATGTACAAACCTATAGTTATAACCCTTACTTCCCCTACTACTTACATCATTCTAAGGTTTTTATAGCCATATTAAAAAGAAATTGACAGAAACTGACAACTTGTATAACAAAAAAATGGAATATGGTATATGGTAACCAATGAGATGACTATCTACAAAAACCAAAGCTAGGGATCATGTTAACGGCTGTAGGTTACGGTATGGACTCCAACAATAAGAAATACCCTAACCCAAATAAAAAGTGTAGGGGTCACAAATTAAGTGAAAATCCAAAAGAGAGCATAACGCTTATAAAATTAAACAAATAACATGTAACATGGCTAACAGAAACATTAATCACTGCTCTAACTGGTGATAGACACATAAAGAATGTTGATTGATAAAGCATGTTTGTGAACGCTCAATCCTCCTTTAACATTGGACTGTGGCATAACAGATACAAAAGTACCGATCTAAAGAGTACATAAAAAATGTACTTGTAGTCACTGATGAATGGTAGTTTATAGAGAAATTTCGAAATATCACAAAAAGGAAAAAGCTACAATATTAAAATGCTATTACTAAGATAAGGACATTCTAAAAGTCAACAGGACTGTGTTATGTATAAGATAAGTGTTATTGCATACCGTACAAAATGAAAGAAACAGATTAATGGGGGCAACTAGAAGTTGTCCAGTACAGCAAAATCAATATATTCATAAGAATTCGTTATTAAAATAACTGAAGTATTATCAAGATAGAAAAGAAAAATATTTTGATCAATGTTACAGTATCAATTTACAAGATTTCGTATTTCGTCAAATTATGTACTTTAGTGTTCTAAAAACAATGTTTTTAATCTAAGCTGTTTTTAGTTTGTTCTCTTTTCAGCATTACCAAACACAGAATACTTTTAATAACATATAGAAGAATTTGTAATGTCAAAATGTAGATTAGGTTAACTTTTTAATGTGATAATTTCATGTTATCAGCCCGAGAGCCGACAGAGCCGACACGATCTTCAAAAGTGATGAATCGTCACCTGGACTTCTCTCATCCGGCAGAAAAACTAAATGCTAAAAAGGGGAGTGTTTGTCACTTAACTTTAAGCGAACAACAATCAAATCAATCGTTTAATTTATTGCTAACGGCGGACACCTAATAATTTAATAACCGAAAAAAAAATATTCGTTATGTTTGATATCTGGGCCGGACATTTTGTTTATGTCGAATTTTCGGTACACTAATTAATTTCGGTGTTTATGAAAAATGCAATTTAAGTTAGTAGGATTTAAGAGTCGACAGCAGTAATAAAGATTTGATTTACTGTAGCATATATCGTCGTGTGAATCTTGTACATGTAGTGGTATATGTCCATTTTTGATAAAAATTTATATTTGAGATCCAAATGCAATGGTTTATCTCCCTATACAACTATGATACGAGATTTCTACACTCTACCAGTTTTTGTGAGAACTACAATGTTCTATCTTCTCCCTCCCATTGAATTATAATGGCTTATTTTTATAAAGTTGTATCGCAACTTTTTTTCACGTTTTTTTTTTGTTTTTTTTTTGCTGTTGAATAATTGTTATCAAAATAATCTAAGAAGTACTATGATTAAATGGTTTGCATGATTTGAACTCAGTCTATGAGAAAAATTTAGAAAATCCAGCCGCACAGAATTGGGGATATTACAAAGATGAAAAATCCAACGGAAATATAGGGATAAATTTTTGCTGTTGTATAATTGTTATCAAAATAATCTAAATAGTACTATGATTAAATGGTTTGCATGATTTGAACTCAATCTATGAGAAATTCTTTGAAAATCCAGCCGTACAGAATTGGGGATATTACAAAGATAAAAAATCCAATGGAAATATAGGGATAAATTTAAAACTACATTATTTGTAGTGAAAGGTTCTATCTCCAAAAGGGGATGCTTTATTTATCTTTGTAACATGAATGGTAATTTTTACTTTGATGTTCTAGCGAGTTAACTTCAGTTATGTTTAGAGGAGTGCGTTAACTGAATGATTTTTTTAGTTATTGCACTCTCCAATCCCACCGTTGACCACTTCTCGTTTGAATAGCAAAGAATTGGAGGAGCTTAAACCAGTGCTCTAACTTTCATC